ATAAATTTAAAATGAGAGCTGGACTTTTACTCGTTCAATGGCTTTCTTTTCTTGATAGACCAGTTCAATTCAGAAATGTGATAGTATGTGGTGATGTTTTCATAGTGTAGCTAAGAATTAGGGAAAATTAGGGAAGAACAAAAGGCAATAGAGATAGCACGCAAATTAATTTCTGGTCATATCTACATGCGATATAGTTGGATTTTAGCAAAACTGTTTAAAAAAACCGAGGGTATCTTGCGCCTAAATACAAGGTCATTTCAGTTGTATTTAAAGAAGCTACCGCTGATCTTCAAATCTACCCTATTGCTAGCAACTCATAAAACTGGATGGATCTATAGCTGTAAAACGCAATGGATTAGGGATCAAGGGAAAAGTTGAAATAACTTCAGATATTTGCGCATCGACATCTTACTATATGCCACATTGGTGTAAAAGCTTTACTGTACTTTAACAACTCACGGTTAAATCAAAATGACATGTCACGCTGTTTACAAAATATCAGTTTGAGATCATTTTAATTTACTCTCTGTTCATAACAAGACGAGCGGAATGCAATAGACTTTCAAACAAAACGAGGTAAAATCGGAATAGCATTATTTTGAAGGCAATCTTTCCCTGATTACAACAAAGTTTGCGTATGGTATCATTAGATATCGCATCTTTGTGAATGATCTTGAGCATGAGACCTCATTAATGCTGATGAGAGATCGTTTCCCTAAATTATTGATGAAATGTTTTTGATGGAGACATTTTGCAGCTACTAAGACTAATTCGAGGCATATTTCAATAGCATACTGACCTTTAGTTTTTTATCGTTCTGCATTTTTACAAAACCAGATCCAAATTGCATAGCCTGTTTAGGAGCAGTGTGTGGAGCTCCGAGTTGAGCGAGAACCTGAAGTACACTGAAACTTGAGCGAAAGCATAGATTGCTACAGATTTTTCACCTGTCTCACTATTCGCTTTTCACCCTCTCCTCTGGGTAGCGACAAATCGCATTTGAGATGCATTGGCAATGAATTGACCCATGCAACAAAAGCATCGTCCAAAAACGGTGCTCTGTAAACGTTCAACGATAACCGACTGAATCAGAGGAGCACGGAGGAGAGACAAGATTGCTTAAAAACATTTCAATTGCTAGACTAGAAAAACATCGTCGTATACTTCTTCAACATTTCTTTTTCTTGAACAAAAAACTTA